TGAAGAGAGGGGCAATGAGGAGAAGCACAGCGCTATCGACTTGTGGCGCAAGTTAAAAGACGCCAGTTGATGATGAGGACCCTTTCGAGGGGAATTTAGATGCGAGACCAGCCAGCATAAACTGACGAGGTCGAAAGTCTAGGAGAAACAAGGCTGAAAACAACTGTAGAGCATCTTGTTTCTTTGGCTCAATGTATACACTAGAGAAGGGCCGATAAAACGTGAGTGTAATTGTTAGTGGATGACTCGAGACAGCGAAATCACGACACACACCAAGAATCACATTATCAGAGTTGCGTGTGCCCAGATTACATACCTAACAGTTTTATGATTTATCCTTGCAGAGCTGGCGAGACTATTGGCGAACCAATCAGTAGGTTGGCTGAACCTTGGGAACTTCATTTCGCTCTGTCTTGGCTGCTCGTTTCCTGACAGAGTAATTAATCGCCCAATTTCGTCTGATCAGAAGCGTCATGAGTTTGATATTACTCTGTTAGTACATTGTAGGTAATTGGCAATTCTCGAGTCCATGAGGGGACAATTGCATGTGAGTGACATGTCCCTTGGGAACCGCATTTCTTTCGAGTTCTTCCATATCTTGTCTTCTTTTCTTCTGTATGTACACAACATTCTGTGCTTCAGACTTGATCGCATCATCATCTGTCCCTACTCTTCCTATTGGACCAATATTCCCCTCTATCGAGACAGATACGGTCTGCTGCATCTTAAGTTTCCAAGGATATCACCCCCGCAAACGCCCCCAAATCTCACTCACGTCTATCTATCCGTGTCGTTATCTGCCGCTACTCTACTGTAGGCTAGCAAGACATTGCTTGGTTGATTGATTGATGTGAATATCTGCGACCCGACCGCCTCGACCTCTCCTTGGCCTCTGGACCCCCCGCATATCACATCTCTTGTATTGTCTTACCGCCTCTCAACAACTGATAGTTGAACACTACTCCGACTACCACTGTAACGGGACATCGGCACTCGATCACATCATCACAGGTTCGCAGACCGCAGACCGCAGACCGCAGACCGACGTTGGCTTGGCGATACCCACGGAACAAGATACCCTGGCCAATCCCTGGTCAGCGTCACAGCCTGTGGACGAAGAGGAAGAGTCTAGAGAAGAGAGGAGCGAAAAGGACTCGACAAGAAAGAACTCTCTCTCTCCACTAAACCCCACGTGCCAATGCGCTTGATGAGGCTGAATCTGGTCTAGAACGTCTTGACATTGGTTCAATCACTTGGCTTCGCTGCCACCGAAACCCAGTTTTTCTGCCTACCTACCAAAGGTTTAGAGTGTCTGATTGAAGAGCAGAGCCTACTGTAGGTACAGTACCAGGCTGTAGGTACATATGTTTTCCCATATGCTGAGCTGAGCTGATCTAGTGCTGAGTGATAGTGATTGCCAGGTAGAGTACAGCGGTGTTTGACCGGTATTTGCCTCCTCCGGCCGCACCGCCATTCTCAAAATCGACCTCCACTGCCTCCGCCGCTTTCACCGTCGTAATCTGCCGCCTCTTACACGGCCACAGGCAGAAGAATAAGAAAAGACACAGACACAGACAGACAGACAGAGGTTTTGCCGTCTCACCCTCCCTGTTTTCTCTTTCCCCTCATCTTTTTTGACTTTCTTTCATTTGTGTCATTCCAAATCAAAAACTCAACTCTCGTGTCTTGGCTTTATCGCCGCATCAAAACTCTGGTATTCCTTGGCTTAGGACTCGACTCCAGAAGACAGAGTCAGTTGAGTTGAGTTGAGTTGAGCTAGGTACTAACCTACTGCTACCGCTACCGCTACCGCCGGGCCCGGACTCCTCCTTTACAGCAGTAACCCCACCCACTACGGAGTACCTACTCTCGGTTCTCTAGGACCTGGGAACACCCCTGATAGTTAGTTCTAAGGCCAGGCCTCCCCGACCCGACCTGTCCGAGTCTTTTCTCTTTCTTTGCGACATTTCCTTGTTGTTGTCGCTCAATCAGTTCTTCTTACTTGTTTACTTACTACTTGCATACGCTGGTCGTTGAGAGAGCGAAGAGAGTGTATCTTCTGTGAAGAACCCTTAGGTTTGTGTCGGGGTGATTTGTCTGTTCATTGTACAACTTGAAAGACGAGAAAAGTCAGCTTCTTTCATGATGCTCTGAGATACGCTGGGCGTGCGACAGACTCCTCACCCACCTCCTGCGCTTCGCTGCGCCCGTATCCGTGCAACGGCGACAAGACGCCCAACAACACCAACACCAACACCAACAACACAACACAAAACCCCTCGTATACCTCTTTGACACCCTCTGAAACCCTTTCGGGTTCTTCTTCAACCTCTCCTCTACACTATTGCCTATTTTCTAATGGCAATGGCGCAGACCAGCAGTTCGTTACCGGGCCACCTACAGGGTCACGGCTTCGGACATGGTAATCAACACGGGCATGGGCATGCTAAAATAACCAAACCTCGCAGTCGACCAGCTGTGAAGCCAATCCTCAAGAAACTGCAATCGCACCACTCCCATTCGGAAAAGAACTCCCTCGATTTGGATCGCGGTTGGGACGAGCAGGGTCAATTTGGTTATTCCTCGTATAATGTGGACGGCGACGACTCGTCTTATACGGCAGGTGCATCAGCACTGCCAACACCTGCCGCCCGCGCCCGCGATGTCAGCTTCTCTATATCGGCCACGGATCTGAGCAACGGAGGTGCTCGCCCAAACAAATATTCGCACGGGCATGCTCGCTCTACCAGTGGCACTTCTCATGCTTCTGTTGCAACTTCTGCTAGCGGTGGCAGAAACGGCTCCTTTGTGCATCCTTTTCAACAAACGCCGCGCACCTCAACACCACCTCTCTCCTACGCCAACTCTCTCGCTTCCCTGGACAATACCACCGGACCTCGCGATTATTCTCCCACGATAACTGAGAACGAAGACAACATCGACTCCCAGAGCCTTCAGACTTCGACTCGTGCCTATCATTCTGGTTCCCGGCCCCGCCGTCCCTCTCTTGCTAGTCAGCGCACCAGCTCGTTATCAGATGTGAATCAACCGCTGCGCATCACTACCAACGGCCGCGCCGCCCCAGTGATATCTGCGCGAAAGCCCCATAGCATCGTGACTCGCAGCCGATCTGACCTTCACCTGAACACAGGCTCAACAACCGCTCTCGACTCTGCGTCAAGCACCAGCCCACCTTCTGGTTCCTTTGTTTCACCCCAGATGATCGCTGCGTCTACATCCTCCAGCGCCATGTCACCACTCCGAAGTTCTCTCGACATGAGCGGTTTTCGTCTTCGCTCACGCAGCGAGGTTGACACTGTCACCCGCCAGGAGAACGTACGCGAAGCGCGTCGTAAGTTTGAGGAAAAAGAACGAGCCAAGGAGGAAAAGTACGCCCGTGAGCAGATCCGCAAGCAGGAACGCGCAGAGAGTCGCGAAGCCCACCGCTTCAACAAGAATGGTCGCAAGGGTAGCTTTGGAACCTCTCGAATCTCGTGTGATCGTGTGTCGAGTAGTACTGACATCCGACCTTCGATCTCCCGCAAGACTACCGGCACTGGCGTGGGTCTGGGGTTGACCACCGAGAACGAAAAGGTCGATTTTGGTACTCGCAGCTACGACACTGTGCCTACAGGCCAGACACCTGGCGCTAGAGCCGACGATGTGCACTTTCAATCAACTCACCGAACCAAAACCACCAAGCGAAAAACCACGAGTGCTTGGACCGCTTTTGTTCTGTGGTTGAGAACGCGACTGCTCAAGCTTGGTCGAAGATAGGAGAATTTTACCAGCGAGACCAAGACCAAATTCTCTGGCCCAAAGAAGGGATTCGTTGTCAGAACTCCCTATCAGCAATACCAGCCGCGACAGCAGACTAGTGCCTTTGACACATACTGCTCATCACCATATACCCCTCGCCGATGAATCTACGAATGCTTTCCTCGGCGGATACTCGGCGAGCACAAATTTACAGCTAGCCATGTCCTTCACTACGATACCTTGAATTTCACCTACGGGAAGCAGTATATCCCTCACTTCCCATTCGCCCACGTATAACGCACGCACACTCACGGCCTTTGGAGCAATGTGGCATGGAAACTAGCGAGTTTTCACGACCAGGAGGAAAGTTATCTTTTGACATTTTATAGGCAAGGAGTTGGGGTTTACCACTTTGTTTTTTCTTCTTCATCTTCTACTTCTACGATTGGCATGCATGGTTGCATCAACGGACTCAAGCTACGCGGGATGAACTCAAGAACTTTGTTCTTTGATTTGGGACGATTTGTTGCATTGTTTCTTGTTTTTTCGAGTATCATTTCCAGCTCGGCTTGCACGGCTGTGGCATATCGGATAGAACGGCTTAGGCGCTTCTACCATAGAACCGGATCAAAACATGAGCAGACATGACCGGCAATTTGCCTCACTCACGTTAACGTTACGTCTCCTCCCTCTCTTGGCAAACATCCATCCTGTGAAGTAGCACAGCCCCCAAATTCTAGCGACTCGAGTGTCGTGTCAAGAAGAAGACGAATCCGTCGTACGTGTGTATCAGAGTGGCTCAGCTTTGCCTCCTCTGCTTCCCTTTCACATGACATTGATCAATTGCACATGACGTTCGTTTGCGGCCTCTGACAGAGAGTGGGCCGGCTTAACGGAGATCCTAAGTGTGGGGAGGATTTAGTTAGACAGGGGTCTTGAAGGCATGGATCTCATGACCTCTCTTTGATGGTTCAGCGCTAAATCATTGCTCGAGTCCTATCTATGGAGACGCTAATCTGGGGTTATGAGACATAGCTCTATCGCTCAAGATGAATGCAGAATATTTGTCTTACTAAGGAATGAGGAGAGATGTATTTGCGGGTATCACGATACAGTATTCCGTATTCTTTGGAAAGTTTGGTGATGAGTTTACACCAAAACAAACGGAGTACAATTTGTAAGGCATAGATAGCAAAGTGATCATAAAATACAGCAATAGACACATTTCCAGTAATGAACCACTACAGCTTTGGCCTGGCAATATCAACGGGCGTCCACCAAGGGTAAATTTTGGGCGCATTCTTGTCCATAGTCCCCGTGAAATCCGGCTTCCTCTTCTCCAAGAAGCTATTCATTCCCTCTTTCGCATCCTTACCAGTGAACAGGTCCCAAAATATCTTACTCTCAAGTAAGTGCGCCTCTTCAGGCGAAGAGGCTCCCCTATAGATCATGTCCTTCATTACCCTCGCAGAAACACCACTTACATTGGCCGCTATCTCATCCGCGATCTTGAGTGCCGTGGGAAGAACCTCTTCGGGTGCGACAATCTCGCTGAAGAGGCCGTCAAAGAGCTTGTGAGTGGCAGGGTAGACAGCGCCAGTGGTGGTGAGGTGAAGTGCACGACTGGTTCCTATGAGGCGTGGGAGGAAGAAACTGCTGCATGCCTCCATGCTGAAACCACGGCGACCAAACACAAAGCCAATCTGGGCGTCGCGGCTCACAACGCGGATGTTGGCACCGAGAGTCATTGTGATACCCACGCCAACAGCAGAGCCATTGATGGCGACGATAACAGGCTTGTTGCAGCGATACATAGGCAAAGTGACGATGCCACCCGAGTCGCGATGATCAGCAGCGTCTTTGCCCAGCGCATGCTCCTCGTTAAAGTCCATACCAGCGCAGTACATGCGATTCTTTGGGTCTGACGAAGTGAGAACTATAGCGCGAACGCGGGGATCAACAGAGAGGGTGTTGAGTGCATGGGAGAGCGAAGCCGCCATTATGTCGGTGAATGCATTACGGGCTTCAGGACGGTGAAGCTTTATGACTATGACATGTGTGACTTGTTTGGAGGAGGGGGGATGATGGAAGAGCTGGAGGGTTGGGAGGTTGAGGGCTGCATAGCTGTCGGGAAGCGAAGGCGATGCCATTGCGATTATTGGTATTGTGAGTAATAGGCAAATGAAGTATGAATGAGTGAAGCTGAGGTCAGGACGATGTTGATTTAGAGTGCGATGGATTGATTGGGCTTCTTCAGTTGAGCCGCGGAATGGTGACAACGTCTCTTGACTTACTGGACAAGATTGAGCCGAGGTGTAAGCTAAATAGGTACCTTAGGTAAGGATAGAAGCGTTGAGTGAGTGTTGCTTGATGATCCCTAGTATCTGCAGTTGTATTATTCCTTGCTTTTCAAGTGAGTAAAGTAGAATGTGTAGATGAATGAAAGAGGTCTGACGATGAGAGCATGTGAATGCTAGTATCACATGTAAAGGTATTGGTCCAAGTTGAAGCTAGAGATCATCAGTGTCATTGTCAAGCGGCTTGAATTCCGCACACTGTTGTCTTAATGAGAACCAAAAGCAGCATTTGCTCGGACCGTTTACACTTATAAAATGAGAGCAGGATCATTTTAAGATATTATTTATCCTTTGCCCTCGGCTATTCTTACATCTTTAGTCTAAATGTGTTTATTCTATAGTCCAAGAGTAGGTTAGTAGGTAGTTGGTCAAGGTACTTACTGTTGTATTTACTTATTCTTATATATAAAATGCATGAATTGTACACCGGGTCCACTAATGCAGTTTGAGAGCTTCTGCATATTCCATCATTATGTATTAATATTATCACTATCACTTGTTCCAAGTTCATCATCAAGCAATTCCTAGATTGTACAGTCTATACAGCTATAATTCGCACTCTTCGGACTGTACGTGTATGACTAATCCTTGGTTGGCCAGCCAGCCAAAAAAAAACTCCGGAAGCCCAGATTAACCAGCAATGCAAAAGTCTCTCCACAGGCTCCAAGTTTTAGTTGAGCCGTTCTGACCAAAGACGCAGACTCAAGAGACTAGTTATGCTGTCTCGAGTATTGAACCATGGTCTATCAATGGGAACCACACAAAGATGTGTGCTACCAACTTTATATCAATGAGCGTCGGTCCCTCGAGGATATCATGGTGCACATGAAGAATGTTTACCAGTTCACGCCGAGGTAAGTGCTCAGTCAGTGTAAGTGACCGCTCTTCTCGACTTGACTTACACGTCCTGTTTCAGCAAACGCGCTTTTCAAGTTCAGTTTAGTCGATGGAAGTTTCCTACAAAGCAAAGGCTAAAACATAAGGATGATCGACTTGTGAAGCGCATCCATGAGCTATGGAGGAGAAATGTCCCTCAGAGTGAAATGTTGCGAATCCTTACTGATGAGGATGGCTTTGACATCAATTCCCGTGAACTCATGAGAGTGCGTGCCCGCAATCGATGGCTCCTTAGAGTTCGAAATGGTGACCGAGCAAGATCTGGTGGTGATGCTGAGCCTGATGATGAGAATATTGAGAATGATACTTCGCCTGATGACGGAGACGTGACCATTCCACTGCTTGAGCAAGAGCCCAGACATCTTGACCAGCCAACACCATATGCTCCTGAAAACTCAACGCCAGAAGATCCCGCCTCTGTCCCAACGACGCCCAAACCACGCAAGATTAGCAAAAGACAAAGCCGAAGAAATCGTCAACATCTCACTGAATCAGAACACATTGTCCGTTTCCCATCTGAAATGACCTTGAACGATTCCAAAGAAGCCCTCGGTCTCGATGCGACCACTTACGCAGAAGCTCGCGAGTGTTTTTCTCGAATCTGTCAACAAGAGTCCATCGTCAAGAAAACCCAAGCTGGACCAGGAAGATGGGACTATGTCAAGAATCGCCTGATTCATGAGCGCCCACACCTACAACAGGCTCTCTGGTTGTCCAAAGAGGACCTTGAGAGAAAGCAGCTTGCCTTGGACGTTATTTGCACTGACGTGACCAAGCGTCTACGCAACCAGGACACCAGAATGACTCTCGTCGATGCAAAGAACGAGCTAGGTCTCAACCCAGAAGAGTCTCATGAAATCCGCGCTGCTTTGCATGAAGTGTTGTGCGATGCAAAGTTTACATGTAAATCTGATGGTACACCAGAGCAATGGGAAGAACTGAAGAAGCGATGGCTCGAGAAGTCAGAACGCATGAGGGCGATCCCTCTTCATGGAAATGATGAATCATCTCGCCGAAAAGTCAAGGCAGTCGAGATCGTCGCTCGAGATGTGATCAAGAGAAGACGAGACGAGAAGAGATCCAAGACCACCAAGAGTGGCGAAACTCCTAAGCAGAAGGAGTCAGCAAAGCGCAAGTCTCAGAATGACAAACCGCAACATACTGTTCAGGACGCGCAACTCACCGAGGCCCAACCAAGCATATATCAACAACAAGCCCAAAGAGCGATAGAGACGCCCCCTGCCTTTGGCATGTCAGACAGCGGAGCTCCAGGGTCCAGTTCACCTGCGGATCCGATGATGGACCAGCCTATGGACAACAATGGGCTTGAGCCTGTCGACTCACGTATGGCCTACACAACAACCGGACAGCCACCAGCACCACAACGGCCAGGACAGGTACAATTGCCGGCTCTGGGCATGCCGGCTTCTCAGGGTGTCCTACCTCAGCCCCATAGAATGCTGGGCTCGTCCGCTGCCAACAACGTGCCCATGGATGCTCAGTACGGCTCGTCGATGTACTTGGGGAATCAACCACAGGCAAACTATATGGAGCAGCAATACGTGCCGCACCAGTTCTCGGCGCCGGCGCCCAACACAATGTTTTCGCCTGTGCCTTCAGTGCCTGCTGTACCATCTTCTTTTGCAGTGTTCATGCGATTGAACCCTGCATCGACATATCCGGCCAACACCAGCATGTGGATATCTACAATGTCTTCACAATCAATCCAAGAGTTACGACAGGTCGCGGTTACTAAATTTCCCGGGGCGATGTGTGTTCGTATTGAGGGTATCATTAAGGACCCTAAGGGCAACGAATTGCCCCTTCAGATACAAGGAGATGATGAGTTAGCAGCATACTTTGACCACATGCAGAGTGGAACGCCGACTTTTACTGTCCAACTTGTCCAACACGGCAGCATATGATCACTTGGTGTACCTTTGAAGTGCTACCATGGTACGTATGATGACAATGACAACAAGAAAACGGGCGGACGGAGTTTCGGGACAGTATAAAGCATATGATTGGGTAGTTTTGACAGTTTCTGGGCGTCAGGATGGAAGCACTGAGAGAGCGGACTTGGTCTCCGCGATATTTTTGGGGAATGCGGCTGAGACGTTGATCTAAGGCGGTGGCCAATATCCGAAGATCTGACGTCTCGGCTATTGCGATTAGCATCGTATGGATACATGAAAGCATTCATTGCCTTAGAACATATAAAACAGCATAAATACTTGATTCGAGGTTCATCGTAACAGGATTGGTAATACATGATAGTGAAACTGGCCGAGGCCGGCGGTGACGTGCTTTGATGTGATAATTGCTCTTCAACGCGCCCCCTCTATACTCAATATTGGTCCTTGAAAGGATATTGAGCACCCACTTTGATAAGTTTCCTGCCATTGATAGATCCTATCTTACAAGATTGAGGGAGAAGCTCCGGGCCCTGCCGGTACGGATGGGTATCAAAGATATCAGAAGACGGACATTGCACAGCGCGACTGCTGAATTATACCGAGGAAACAATAACAAAAAAGGCAAGTATAAGAGGAAATATAACAATACAACCAATGAGAATCAGGCAAAGGCCTCCACGCCGTAGTAGATCTAATCGAAGCCGATCTCAGGGCCCTGAAGAGGCCCGAACAAGGCCCCGTGATGTGGGGTTCGGGAATTATAGTGCGGTATTCCAACTCCGTCCTAACAATTTTCCATTGCCGTCGACTTCAACACTTAAGCTCGACATCGACCGCTCCTCGTCGGCCAATTCCTATCCCGACACACTCCTACAGCTTCGGTCAGCTCCTCTACACCCCTTTTGCGACCTAAATATCTTCATTACTTCTGCTACTGATTTTCAACCTCTGCCCGCGCACAAGCTACATCGTCATGGCTTCTCTTCAATTGCGCGCGCAGCGTGCTGCTCTCCGGAGCTTGCGGACACCCACCACAGCTAGTTGTCGAACTGCGAGGTTACCTGCGTCTTTCTCCCGCTCTTACGCTACCGGGATCGAGCCTGAAAGGCCGAACAAGAATACCCCCGCCCGACAGAGTAACGAGACAAAGGTGGGAAGGACATTCCAAGGACAGGTCATGGGCAGTATTGGATCTCGATTAAGGCGTGAGCGGGAGCAGAGGGAGAAGTATGAGGAGTGGCGCAACATTACAGATCCTACAAGGAACTGGATGGTGACATTTGGTACGTTCGATCACTCGCTTGTAGAGCCGAGATTTAACAAATGATAGTCTTCCTCTCGGGCGTTGGTATCTCATACTGGCTTGGTACATATTGGCCAAGAGACCCCGAGCCTACGTCGACACTGCCCCTCAACAAGGCCAAAGCTCCCAAACACAACACGAAGCTCGAGAACATGCAGGCTGCCTGGGCCGACTTTGTCAAGATTGTCGGCCAAGACAATGTCAGCACCACCGAGAACGACCTCGAGCACCATGCTACATCCAGTTGGTCCTCTCACCAGGCTGGCCCTGAAGACCGCCCCTTTTGCGTTGTATATCCCTCAAGCACTGAAGAGGTGTCTGAGATTATGAAGGTTTGCCATAAGCGCAAGATTCCCGTTACAGGCTATAGCGGCGGTACCAGTCTTGAAGGACACTTTACACCTACCCGCAAGGGCATCTCCATCGACTTTGGCCGTATGAACAAGATTATCAATCTTCATAAGGAGGATCTCGATGTTGTTGTCCAACCTGCGATGGGCTGGGAAGCTCTGAATGACCACCTGGGCCATGAGGGTCTCTTCTTCCCTCCTGACCCTGGCCCTGGTGCTATGATTGGAGGTATGATTGGTACTGGGTGCAGTGGCACCAATGCTTATCGCTATGGTACTATGCGCGAGTGGGTTCTTAGCTTGACTGTCGTTCTTGCTGATGGTACTGTTATCAAGACCCGCCAGCGACCTCGCAAGAGCTCTGCTGGCTACGATCTCACTAAGCTGTTTATTGGTTCCGAGGGTACCCTTGGCCTCGTGACTGAGGCTACTCTAAAGGTTACCGTTAAGCCTGAGTCTACCAGTGTCGCTGTATGCAGTTTCCCCTCGATCCGTCATGCCGCTACTTGTGTGAGCAAGGTCGTGGCCCAGGGCATCCCCGTCGCTGCTGTCGAGATTCTCGACGACAACCAGATGAAGTGCATCAACGACGCGGGCATGACATCGCGAGCTTGGACAGAGGCAGCGACACTCTTCTTCAAGTTCGCCGGAACTCCCGCTGGCGTCAAGGAGCAGGTTGCCCAAGTGCAGGGGCTCGCTAAGCAGGCTGGCAGCAAGACCTTTGAGTTTGCCAAGAACCAAGAAGAGCAGGACGAGCTGTGGAGTGCACGAAAGGAGGCTCTCTGGAGTACCACAGCTGTCAAGAAGCCTGGTGACCACGTGTGGACAGGCGATGTTGCCGTGCCCATGAGCAAGCTACCAGATCTGATTGAGGCGACCAAGGAGGATATGGCAAAGAGTGGCCTGTTTGCTTCTATCGTGGGACATGTTGGTGACGGCAACTTCCACACCATTCTGCTGTACAACGATGCTCAGCGTGCAAGGGCTGAAGCTGTTGTGCATCGCATGGTCAAGAAGGCTGTTGAGATGGAGGGTACCGTAACGGGTGAGCACGGTGTTGGACTTGTCAAGCGGGATTATCTCCCTCATGAGCTTGGCGAGTCTACAGTTGATGCTATGCGACAGGTAAGAAATATTGCCCATTTATTGAAGTGAGTAGTTCGCTGACAGTCATTGCAGATCAAGAAGGCATTCGATCCTCTATGTTTGCTTAACTGTGACAAGGTTGTGCGGGTACAAAAACCCAAGAAGGGAGAGGTCGACGAGTGGTAGAGAGTTATGAAATACGCATGATATTAGTAACGGACTGGAGGGAAAAGAGCATGATGATACCTGGTGTAGCGTGTACGATGTAGGAATAGATGGCTTGGATGGCAGTCACAGAGACTCGCCTTTACAAAAGCTTGTGTATAAGATCACTTTAGCAGACCCCTTGATAAACTTCCCTTACGATCTATAACGATGATGCATTGTTAATTCCTAACAGTCAATTAAGTCATTGGCCATGTAATACACTAGTAAATCTACTTATATTCTTCTTTTTCTTCTGAAGTCGTCAAGGCTGTATCATCTGCGGCGACCAAACATATCTTCTAAGTCAGTCTGATTACCTGCAGTGTTACCTCAAGTTCATATGAACTTTTGGGTTTATTGCACTCAGCTCTTGGAGGACTGTGGCTGCTTGCGTAAATATATTGAGAGTCAATCGTTATTTGAGACTGAAATCAGGCTTGCAAGAGCATCGAGGAATTCTTTCTCATTCACCCAAGCAGCCTAGATCCCATCAGAGTCTATCTAATATGCCCGGAATCATACACACATCAGTTCATCCGACGCAGTAAATGATCGTGTTTACAGCAGCGGAACAGCGAAAGTTGACTATCGAGGCTATGACCTTGCTAACAGGGATATCTCTACAACAGTTGTGCCTTTACAGATACTAAGGCCAACTTGTAATAGATAAAAAATAGGAGTACAGCATAAACTTCAGGGCTTTATACTACGAATGATCGGTAGGTATCTCGCAATCTTGGTGTATGATTTATATAAGGCTGATAATGGCTTATTCCCTCTGAGCTATAACGCAATATACTGGCTCACTGCCTTATGCACCATCTTCTTGCTAGAATAGTTCATTGATTGTGTTTCCTCCAATTAAAGGTTAGCAAGAGCCTCGCCATTGTGTCACAGTAGATAGATATTTCACATACCGGTCAACCTGGTATCTACCATGGCAGACCAAATTGCCCTTGCTGGTTATTCCCAGCTTGAGTCTGAGCCAGGCTCGATCCTGGGACCAGACCCAGACCCGAATTCTGGGTCTGATTCTGAATTGACCTAAACCCGCACTCAGCATCGAATGCGCACAACTCAGAGGTAACATACGGTTGATGGTTGCTAGTCAGAGGCCCGATATTCCACTGCTGGAAGATCCGGTCTAGTCGCGCTCTGATGAGCTTGACGCGTTTCTCGCGGACGCTTTCGAGCGCATCTTGACTCTCAAGAATACCTCTGTTGACCTCGTAGCTTAGGGTGTACAGAGCTTCGAGTTTACCTTCGAGCTCGTTGATCAGCTTGCGGACGGCTTCCTTGTCGACTGGCTCTGTGGTGCTTTTCTTTTCTGTGGGCGACATGGTGATTTCTTGGTTGCGAATGTAGAAAGGAAGTGTTTTCTGATGAGAGGCATACAAACTGGTGAGGGGAATGAGAGTGAGAGTGTAGAGAGTCGAGGTTAGCAGTGAATAAGTGCAATGCACTGAACTTTCCCGCATCTCGTGCTTCATTATCAAATTGCATAAACAATGGCAATATAGCAAAGACCAATACAAGTATAACGATCTGTCAATATGAATTTACAAGAAATCTAAGATCATATGGACAAAGGTATCGAAGCAAACGAAACTGAGCCATTATATCGACTCTTCCCAAACACCTAACTCCCCCAAACAACATCCAGATGTGACGCCCTAGATCAAAACACTGTGACAGTGTTGACATGCCCATTCTTCAAAACCTCAAATACCAGGCCTGGGAATCCATACAGCGTGGTCGTGGAATCACCGTTTGTTTCTGCTCTTCTTGCGCCACTCTCCTCCCACCCTCCTAGAAACTCACAACTACTGCCTGGACTATCGCCCCAGCCACGATTAAGAACCATGCCGCGTTGTCTTTGCTGAGAGTCTTTCCGTGGGAATGCAGATGCCCATGCAGCATTCATACGGTCCTCGATTTGTGGGAAAGGCGTTTCCGAATCTGTCGGTCCGTTACCGTCATTTAGAGAGTCCAGGTAAGCAATTTCCCAGCGACAGCGGCGATGACGATTGAATTCGTATGAGCCAGGTATGTTGCCATGGAGAGCCAGCTTTGTGGCTACCAATCGATCGGGAGAATGGGATATGATACCGTTCTGACCCTCTGTCTCACCGACTAAGCTGCCAGGAGGAGCTTGTGACGGTGGTACGCGAGTCGATATTAATATGTCAAACCCGAGATAGAAATAATTATAGAAGCATTCGCCATTTGTGTTAAGACCGATCTGATCATCAACGGCTTCTTCACTGTCTGATGCATCAGACCCCTCGTGCATCGAAGACTGGTCTGTATCAGTGAGATCTTCAGGTCGGCCAATGTCAACAGCATCTGGACGACCTTTGGCGTTGCTTGCGGTACGCATCTTGTGAATGACCATTTTCTGGTCATTCTTGCGATAGATGGCATTCGGAGGCCCCAACTCCATGAGGAGATCCTGAGGCGTTGTCTCACCAAGGGTGATCCAGAAAGAGTTGCTGGTCCATTTTCTGAAAAGCTGAATCTTTCCAGCTCCATGTAATCGAACAAGCGAAATTTCATCAGGATAGACATCTTTACCTCGAGGAATCACGGTAGTAGACTTGATACTGGGCAAAATCTCAGTCCAAAGAGTCGGTCTAGCATCAGCCCAGGAATCACCACTAAAGACAGCCATCGAGGTTGCGACTTGACTAGATGCCGATGCAAAAGTCGACACTACGTCTTTCTCGGGTGAGTACTCGGAAGGATTAAGCGTGAAGTTAAAGGCAACACCAGGATAGGACAAGACATAGATGCCATTATCGTGACCACCAGATGGCGGAATAAATTCACCGGCGTACGTAGGACCGAGTAGTTTATGGTATATGTGTCGGAAAGTCGGTCCTGAAGTTGAGTCGCCTGGTGAAGGAGATCCAGGGGTGCCAGCAGATGGTTTTACAAGATCCCGCTCTTTGAAGGTAATGTGATTCTTGGTGAAGTCGGTAACCTCGATAAGACGCAGACGCTGTTCGGGGCCGTCAAATCTTAGTCGTATGCCATTCGCAGGGAGTTCAACGCCAACGGGTTCGGTGACAGGACGGTCAGGGGAGTAAAGTAGCTCGATCTTGGGGAAGCGTTGGGGTTCAGCTTTGAGGCGGGTAAGGACATCGTGAAGAGTTGCACCGAGGACTGTAAATGTATCAGTAGTTGTAATCAAGTCTTACGATAGTTTGCCGTACCTAGGAAGCCTAGTGCTCGGCCAGGATAAAGCTGCGCGGTAAAGAGTGACATGTTGATGGCGATGATATGGTAGATACCTTTGGATAGCTTATCGCAGAGCTATCCCTGGAGGGGTTGAGCTATGTAAGAGCTGAGCTCCTAGGAGAGCTTTGTAGACTATAAGTTGCTGACCATGGATGAGTATTTTGCTAAGAGAAAGATTTAGAGAGCAAGGCAGGCCATGGAGAGGAATGGAGATGAATCAAAAGAAAACGGTCACGGTCACGGCGTCTGTCTGTCTGTTGCTGTTGGAGTCTTGGGTTGCCTTATCGAGTGAGGAGTGACAAAGATGCCATGTGATGCGATGCTGTGACGCGGGGCACTAAACGCACTAAAGGGAGGTGAGACTTAGTGTGCTACAGTACCTACTTAGGTAGGTAGGTAGGTAGGTACCTACTTTGGGATGACGTAAGGCAACCACATGGTCTTTATATGCTGCTCATCTTGCCTGTTGACTCTTTTTGTTTTAACTAATCGTTTATTCTATTGGCTTGTTGTTTGTCTTATTTGACTAATACGTCCCTTTCTCTGTCAGACGCGTAAATGCTTGTGTATTCAATGTGCAAGGATTGGTTGCTCTAAACAATGGACGCCGTATCGCTTGTGATGGCGTCTAATGTTCTCCGTAAGTGATGGATGAAACGCGGTCCTAATGAATTGGATTCCGCTGTGGTTAGTATGATTGGCCTTTCCGTATCGAATAATCGTCTGCTTCAGACAAAAAGTAGATTGTTTCTGAATGCATACCTCTCTAACTTCTTCTCTCATGAACTTATACGAGCCTCGGCAAATGGCATCTCATTCATGAACCTCGTGTGGGGCAGCCTAGGTTGGCGTTCTAGGGGTCGTAAACGGCAGATGCAGCCTAAGCTCAGCTTAGCTTAGGAGAGAGTCGAACCTCTTATTTATCTCCAGACCTGCTCTATTAGGATATAACTCTTGTTCTTGCTGCTGCTTCTGCTATTTATATAAACTCTACGGGCCTCCTTACCCCAGAATCTTCTCTCAGACTAACACAATCCCCCGGATCTTCCATCATGGCCCCCTCTGACTTTGCCGACTATCCCAAGCCTGTCAAGGCTCCAGCAGCTACTTACAATCCCACAGTCGAAAACAACCCTACTTTTCGAGGCATTCCTCTCGTAATTGGTGCTAATCTGTGAGTTTTATATCCTGTGGCTTGTGCCCTTACCGAAGCTAAAGTCTCGTAGCATCGCCAAAGTTGGGTTCCTTCAACAATATTTCTGGGATAATGCCCACTTTGGCACTATCAAAGACATTCCTGCTCTTGATGATATTCCCTACAGGTTTCATGTATGAGAGGTCATCGATTCATACGAAATACTCCGTAGCTAATACCCTCAGCCTACCGTTACTCCCCTGGGCCCTACAGGGCCTATGCTTGACTTTGAACCTAAGCTTCTCAAGTCCCAATATGCAGATTCCGGAGCACGCTACTACACTGCTAGTGACTATCATGAGATGTACAAGTCGGGTCAACTGACACCTCTTCAAGTCGCTGAAGCTCTCCTCCCCCAAATCTCCAGGCCAGATGGAAAGTATTCTGATGGCTGGGTTGACAACCACGGAAAAGATCACCTCGTCCTCGAAGCTGCCAAAGCATCAACCGAGCGTTACGCTGCTGGCAAGCCACTGGGTGTATTGGACGGTGTACCTATCGGTGTCAAGGATGATACTGATGTTAGGGGATTTCATAACCACATTGGTATGAAATATGATCCCTCCATTGAAACTTTCAAGGAGCAGAAAGAATCGTCGTGGCCGGTGAAGAAACTCCAGGAAGCCGGTGCTGTAGTCATTGGAAAGAATGCCATGCATGAGCTTGGCTCAGGTGAGTCCATATACAACGTCTTTCTGACGCAATTACTGACCTCTATCAGACACCAGCGGATGCAATGTAAGCACGAACCGCTTCGTACAAGACATCACTAACAAGTCCAGGCTGCACAAGGAACACCCACTAACTGGCTCAACAAATCCTACTATCCTGGCGGTTCCTCCTCAGGAGGCTCATCCACTGTCTCAGCCGGTGTTGTTCCCATCGCCGTTGGCACTGACGCCGGAGGCAGTATCCGCATCCCTCCCACTTTCAATGGCGTCTACGGACTCAAGACCACACATAACAGAACCATGTTTATGAATAACACCATGTGTATCACCGGTCCCATAGCCGCTACTGTCTCGGACTTGACTATCGCCTACCGCGTCATGTCCCAGCCCAACCCAGATTGCCATATCCAAAGCCGTTTTGCTCGTTCTGACCCACCGCCAAAGGGTCAGAACAAGGTCATGGGAATTTACCGTGACTGGTGGAACAAGGCTGACCCTCGTGTCAAAGAGGCCTGTGACAGGGCGGTTGATTACCTCGCTAACAAGTGCGGTTATGAGATCATCGACATCACTATCCCCTACATCCCCGAGGCGCAACTTGCACACAGTGTCGTCTGTATCACTGAAATGGCCGAGTCAGCCCGTCGACGAACTCCTAATCCCGCCGACTGGCTCTCTCTGGTAGGACCCGCTAACAAAGTCGTGATGTCTGTCGGTACCAGGACTCCTGCAGCCGATATGCTCAAATACGGCGCTTTACGAGAGCTCATCATGCAGCATCTAGCCTATTTATTCCAGAAGCACCCTGGCCTTCTTATCATGACACCCACAAGCCCCTTGATCGGATGGCCTATTGTCCCTGGTGATCAAACCTACGGCATGAGTGATACTAATACGACTATTCGAAACATGCTCTACGTGTTTTTGGCCAACTTGACCGGCACACCTGCGGTGTCAGCTCCTGTGGGATACGTGGACCCGGATCAGGGTGAGGGCAAGCTCTCTATTGGCTTGATGGCTACAGGAGAATGGGGTAGCGAGGAGCAGCTCCTAGCTTGGGCAGCAGAGGCAGAAGAATATTTGCATAACGCTACAGAGTCTGGCCGGCGCCGACCTGATGAGTGGCTGGATGTTGTGGATCTGGCTAAGCAGAAGGCATAAGCCCGTTGTACTGAGATGATGCTTTGCTGTTTTTTACTTAGGTCGCAAAAATGAAACTGGAATATGGAGTCTT